CCCCACACCCTGCGTTCCCCATTTAAGAAGGGTTCATTGACTCTACTACAAACGATTAACTAAAGGACCATTCTCTGTGATCAACCGACAGCCCTTCAGGATACAAAACAGCCTAAAAATCAGTTTAACTTACAGTAACAGAGACCGCCTCTTGATGCTCTACGAGTGTAACCATTTTCACACCTATGAAGACAATGAAAAAAGACTTAGACCAGTTTGATAGGATGGTGTACTGGTCACTCACTAGCACAAAAGTTAATAACAAAAATCAAAGGCAAAAAACATAGTCGCTTTCGCGGATTTTAGTTTAGATAAGATTAGTTTTAAAGGATGGCACAAGTAATATGGACCGATCACATCATGTACTGAAGCAAAGCATCATTATCCCTATTTGAAAGGCTTTCCTATTTACTTTCCACACTCACTGTTCTTGGACTGCATCACAAACTGTGCTTATGTTATTAAGGGTGCCTACTTTGAGTCAGTATTGGCTGGCCAGTTCGATCCATTGATACAAAGGATTGCGGTGTTGATCACTTTTGCCAGCCAGATCAGTAAAAATATAAACGAAATTCGCGATTGTGATAGCCTTTTTAAGATTCATTTGAACAAAGACTCGAAAAAAAGTCTTTGAAAGGGATCGAGCCAATCACCTAAATACATCTCTTACAAGCTCTAAAACTGAGCTAAAGAGAAAACAGACAGGTGTGAGTCACAGACTTCATTAATAATAATAATAATAATAATAATAATAATACTAATAATAAACAGTTTAACGTAGAGAAACACTTAGCTAGAAGCTAGTTTACAGGTTTTCCACCAAACAACTGAAACAAATAATTCGAATTGAAAATAACATTATTAAGAATCCCAAACTGGCCGAAGGCAAACCAGTTGGCTATGTTACAAGCATGGCCGAGGATTTGAAACACGGGGCTACCGTGAAACAAATCCAGGTAGTGGCCGGGGCGGGACTCGAACCCGGGAGCGGCGGATCACTAGTCCGACACGCTGACCACTCGACCATGCTGCCTTTTAATAAGGGACACACGTCCTGCATACCGCTCGAACCAGTGAGCCGAAAGAACTGTGGTTGAACAAATGGACTCAAGAAGAATACTGAAAAAACAACAAGCTCGATTGGCGATAAAAAGGAAATATATAAATCAATATTTTTACGGCGAAAAACTGACTTAAGAAAAGAATTATCCGGCAAATCAAGCATTCACTGGGGAGTTTTAAGAATCGATGTCAGTCGGACCCCTTCTTTGCAGATTTACGGCAACAATGACACAGCAGATGATTGTGAACACTTACTTATCACACTTTTCATCGGTAGTGCCTAGGGCAAGACATTGGCATTTGCCATTAGAGTCACACAACTTAGCATGGGAAGAACATCTACAATCTAAAAGCAAGAGAAAAAAACGCAATTTCCAACATCAATGGACCATTATCAAAGTCACCATGTGTAAAGGGAAACGCCTACATCTTAGGCAGTTATGAGTCTGTTTCAGTCGGTTTTTGGAGCATTATCTTTACACTACACTGTCATTGTATACGGCACTGAGGAAAAGCCATTGAGAAATCAATACAGGTTTTAAAAACGGTACTAACCAATTAACTCTGAGCTATTTAAGTGATATGAATGAGAGCAAAGGAACTTCATAAAGTTTATACGTACAGGAGCAGAACTTATGAAACGCACGCAGTTCTACAAAAAGGAATAGTGCCAGTGTTAGCTATACGTCACTTTCTCTGTGTTTCAAAGAACAAGTTCACCTTTGATTCATTCTTACTTACAATTGAGTGATACTAGAGATTAAAACGTCATTCCAAACCTTTACATTTCTCTCCATTCCTAGGGTCTCCATAATACCCATCGGCACATCGTTCACAGTGGGCACCTGTGCCAAAAAAATATGGTAAAAAAGAATAACACTTCAGGTGGCCTCTTAGCTTGATGATGCCACTTTGTTTAAATGTGCTCTACACCATAACATCAGTATGTATATTCTCCATTCTGTTCTCCATACACTTCCTACGGTGCTGACAGAGAGAATTTGTTCAACAATCAAGAGCTTCTTTAGTAGGTGATCATTTCCTTTATTTTCGTTATCTCAACGTGTGATTGAGGGATGATATTGTATGGAGAAAATATATGTTAGTTACTCTTGGGGATAAGAGGCTTAAATATGCTGTTGGTGTTGTCGGCGTTGTTGGCGGAGCTTCGTCTGGAAGTATTTTATGTTTCCTCGAAATTTCATCTCACCAGCTGTATTATCCTCGCATTTTTCACATTGGTTTCTTTCCACGCACTTGCTATGGCCATTACACTGACAAGCTGCAGACAAATGAAGAGTTCGTCATATTATGAGATAGGACTATGTGTACATGTGTAGCGGTCTATAAAAGGACCAGTTCGCGTCTCGAGCAAATGGGAAAGTTGCATCTAATGAGATAAATTGCGTGACGGCTATAGTTTACTGTGGCCCAACGGGTGATATTTGTGTGGCACTTAAACTGTGGGATGACGGTGCTATATCAAAGTCGGTTTTTTCTTTAAAGTCAATATCGAAAGAACAAGTTCAAAAACGTTTTACGGGAAATGATTGCGAGACTGTTGAACATTGTAGCTAAATATAATGCTGAACTGAGCTGCTGCCCTCACACGGGAAAATATTGTGACAACTAAGGCCTATTTTTACAGCCTCTAAATGGTAGTTGCGTAACAGCTTAACAGTCAGGCTATCAGACTATCAAATGAATGCTGCATATATTTCTGTTACCTGGACAGTTTATAAAATTCCAGTGTGACTTAAAACAGTCTTCTCCACTATCCGGAAAGGATCCATTCATGCCCCCTGGCATGCACCTGCCCAAACCAGTCCCAGACCCATCATCACACCAACCACACCCAGGGAGCATTGAACAGTCACGGCAAGATTTCATTTCCGCACACTGTAAATCTAACAGTAGAAGACGATGGGAATGTCAACAATAACCGAAACAAAGTAATTATTCTAAAGCGTAACTCATTCTCCCCTTAAATCGTCGATAGGGCGATATTTCAGTACACGGGTCTTTTTTTACTTTTTAGAGCGCACAATTTCAACCCTGTACTTCCTTGCTGATTTTTGCAATTTTTGTTAGTCTAGTTAGCTTTTTCTGAAGAACGTTTGTCTTTTTTTTACAAACAACTTTTTACTTCTTAACTTTTCTATTAACACTTCAGCCAGATATCAAGGGAAGACTTCTTTTTAAAAAATTCTTCGGTGCATGGACGGAAGACTCGAGCTCCCCTCTGTTACACGAGGACCTTACATCTAGTTTACACCCTCAGATGCTCTAAATACTGCAATATAATGGACAGACACAAGTACACAAACAATTTTAGTGCAGGGTTGCGTGAATCTCACCTGAACATGTGCCAGTGCCACGCTCAAGTTGCTGCACGCACTGCTGATAAGGGAGCGTGACATGGTAGGTGACTTTCGACATACACTGGTTTAGAGTTTCACACCATATGCAGCTGTCACTGGAATCTCCTCTGAGGCAGTCTGCGCATGTCTGCCGCAGATGACACTGGTCGCTGTTAGGGTTATGGGACGAACATGTATCTGCATGGTAAAACATTTGTTTCATGTACCATACATGGCCAGTTCATTTTTGACAACTTCATTTACGATTGTTTGACCTGCACAGATAGGCACCTGCTGTACAGAGCCCCGAGTGCCTACCTCTTTTATTGAGTCAAGTGCAGCATGACCGTTTGTTATAACTATCAGAGGAGTTGTGGAGAACAAACATCATATACATCATGGAATGTTTTTTATACTTACCCGACGGAATAAGCTGTTTTGAAAGATCACTGGGGGAAGGGGCTGCTTCAAAGCAGCTAAGTGAAGATCCATGTGACATACAGTCTCCTGGTTGCAACACAAAAAGAATTAGCCAACACACATATATCATCATGATATCACTACCAGAATTACCACTCTATTATGTATAGCAAGCTCTCCTTAGCGCGAGAAAGAGAGGGGGTGAGGGGATAGTAAAAAGGGATGAAGAGCTTGCACACACATTCCTTACTGGGGAGGGGATGAGGAAAGGGATGAAGAGCTTGCAAACATATCCCTCACTGGGAGGGGATGGGCAAAGGGATGAAGAGCTTGCACACCTATCCCTCACCGGGAGGGGATGGGCAAAGGGATGAAGAGCTTGCACACACATCCCCTACTTTCGAATATCTGCACTAAGAAGTTCCCCTTCATTCCTTGACCAATCAACACCTATCGTAGTTGTTATGCATGAAATAACCACCACTAATCATGTGCCGTCACCGTCACTAACTGTCTAAAATCTTCCACTCGCACCTACTCCAATGTTGCCACACTCACGAGAGCAGTTTTCAATTGTGATTTGCTTTACCTTGTTCTATGTTTGGTTCAGAAAACTCACATTACCCTCTCGACCAATAGGATGCAAAATCAAACCAATAGTGACTTAGTCACTTGAGTTTTCTTTCGCTTCATGCAATTCGCTTGTTTCTTCTTGAAGTTCAACATGTATCTCACTCCTTGTGATATTTGCTTTTCGATACTTTTGTTTTGACTGGCCGTTGTGAATATCATAGTTTTATGTTTAAGACACTCAGCCGTACGGCGTATTATAATCAACACTATTTTCATCACCCTTAGAGCATCAATCATCAACAACATCACTCCAGAGTGAACCTGCCCATATGATTAATCTCTTGGTGAGATTCAAGATGAAATGGGTGACTCTGACAACTCAGATCTAAACAACAGTTCGTAACTATTTTGTACTCTTTCATTTTACATTCATATAAAGAGATAAGATAAGACCTTTATTTAAATACGATAATAATTAAAGTTAACAGCTTGAGGGGTCGTGTATTTAGTTTGTACATTATTCAAATAAGAAGAAGACTAGCTAAATAAGTAAAAGGCTAACACTAACATCTTAATCAAAAGTAAAGAAAGTCATTTTTATGGCGGACAGCTGAAGCTGAAGCAACATTGAATTTAGAGTAGAAGTCAGCGTTAATTTTCCGAGGTTTCGTTTGACATCTGAGACAAAATTTTTTATCATTCATTCTTTAACCGGCTTTAAGAGTGATCACCATCTAATTTCTCTATGAATCAAACCTTTAGAAGCATTAGATTGTAAAACAGATTCTCGTTGTCAATATCACAGGAAACGTATTAAGAACAGTATGGAGAATAATCATATTGATCTTAGGGCGTAGAGGGTTAATCATCTTCTCTTTTTCTTTTTTTCTCCCCGTCTGTGTTTTTCTCCCTGCAGATGATAGTTACTACGGAGCCAGTCAGGACAATTGTGGCGAAACTTCTTTTACAGTAAAACTTCGCCATAAAAAAAAAAAAAAAAAAGCGCCAGGAAGCAAACTCACCAAGGGAATACTGAAGGAAAGAGTTAAACATACGTCCTCCAAATCCGCCAAAGGCATACATGATGCTGCAAAAATAAAAGAACACTTTCGATCGCATCAAATGCTAACAAAGCATAAGGATATCTTAGAATCATGAATCAGTCAAAGAAAAATTTTCACCTGTCAACAACTACGGCTGAGTGTCCATATCGAGATACAGTCTTTGGTACATTAGTACTGGTTGGGATTTTCCAGTTCGTTTCATCTGAAATAATACATCGTCTGATCAGACGAGCTTTAAGTTTTTTTTTTTTTTAAAAAGCTACGGGTAGATTTACGCAACATAATCGTATGTGCCTGGCCTGGCTTTGGTACTCTACCATTAGATAGGTCGATCTTATTCATCTGATTGCTTGATTCTGAAACATTTAATCATCTTTAAATAAATTATCAATCAAAGATTTTTCAATATCAACATAACTCTTATTCCTATTTACTGTAGTCCAATTACAGTCCTTAATCATTTACTTGGCTTTTCATAAGAATGAGGCAACTAAAATAGTTACATTAGTTTAAGTGTGAAGTGAAAAAACGCAAAGTTTATGGAAATAACTGGAAATGAAACGCATTTGTTTGTTTGTTCTTTTTTCGCGTACTACCATGCATCATACAGCACGCGTGAAAACTTTCTTTTTCAGGAAAATAAAGTTTACTCTGACAGTCCATGAAAGATGCCCTGGCTGAAGGATATTTTGGTTTACAAAAATGCACGGTGTCAATTTACCTCAAAGTAAAATTTGACCCAATTAGGAAGAGCAGCAAAAGAGCAGAGAAACACTTTGCGCATACTTTGCCCACATGAAGAGAAAGAAAAATGATAATTGTTTTGTAGGTTGAACCCTGGGGTGTCTTTGGGCCTAACGAGTTCGATTAAAGAGAAGAATGAAAGAATCATGAAAGAATCATGAGAGACAAAAATGTAAAAATGCGCTTTGCGCAATTCCAACTCAATGGCATTCTAACCAAAAAAAAGTGAACATGATGACACAAACTCGAAAACAAAATTTTGCTTTAAATCTCAGCAAAATTCGAAAAGAATGGCACTCAATATTAAAACATACAAACTGGTAATGCTAATGGAGAAAGCCAAGGAATACACTCACTGATGTCAAACACCATCAGGTGGCGTGATACCAATTCTTTCTCTCCTCTGCCACCAAAAACAATCATTGCATTATCAACAATAACCGCTGAATGAAGAAACCTTGGTTTATCACTACTATGCAGCTGGTGCCATTTTTCGGCCCTGGGCTCATAATAGAACGTTTCACTGGATGCTCTATAGCAGGAGCTGTTAAGCATTCTGTATCCCCCGTGTACATAGATACGTCCTGTACCTGGGTGAAGTACACTGCTGTGACCATAGGTGGGTCTGATGTTAGATGAGTCTGCTTTACTTGATCTCCACACTCTGTCCACTGATAAAAATTATTAAAAAATTTACTTCCTTAGAGAAAATTACATAATTCAACAAGGGCTAGGGTATAGTACGTCCAGGTGCCCAGTAGTGGCTACGCATAAAAATAGTGGTAAGTGAAAAAAGTGATTACTCTTCACGGTGGCCAATTTACATCATTAACTTAGTTGATAAAAACAAAATTACCTTGTTACCCCCACCGACGCAGTACCCCCTCGATTGTTGGAAAGTCTACCTTGAAGGTAATTGATAGGAACAAACCAGTCTTTCTCTCCCCTTTTCCTCATTTTAACCTTGCTTTTCTGGTGCTTACCTGCCTCAAGGCCCACTAGCTGAAGGAGTGGAACAAGTTGGAGAAGGTGAGATGGCACTCCTAGACTTGTCTGGTTGTGCTTGTCCCTTACAGTTAAACCCTTTCCCCTCCCGCTGGCCCAAGCAATATGTCAGTTTCCCCTAACATTTGGCAAGAACATAACAACTGCATGCCCCTGAGTGGTGAGAGGGGCACTGTGAGAGTGAAGTGTATGACCTGAAAACACCACACCTTGACCCTTCATGAAGCTCAATCCAGAGCCCTCACTCCTTAGTGCAACAAACTACCTGAGAGGCTAATGAATCTCATCAAAAAGTAATCCAGATTAGATTTTCTGGGTGCCATTTTTGCATATTTACATATTACTACTCTCTTTATGTACTAAATTGAACAGGGCATACACCAATAATAAGATCCACTGTCATCATGCAATTGAAATAATCACTCAAGAAATGAATGAATCCAGAAGTGTTATTAACTTACCAAGCCCAAATACCTGGATCAAATTTGTAACACCTTGCTCAGGATTAAATCCAAACAAGACAATCATGTCATTTTCAACAACAGTGGCTGTATGTCCTGACACGCCCACTGGTTTATTGCCTGAACCTCTTAACAGTGTCCACTGTCTTGATGTAATGTTTAATATCCAGGTCTCATTAGAAACAGCTCCTTTCTTGCAAGTTCCACCAAACAAGATGAGGTAATTCTGAAACCAACATTCAAGTCGAGTAAATTGGATGAGTTAGTAATGATTTTTATTACATACAAATCTCCACAGTTTAGGTCAAGACTTGGATTATACACTGAACATCCAGGAGAATTTCCTGAATGCATTCAATCAACTGATCCCTCCATCAATCCATCAATCAGTCAGTGGCTCAATCACAAGTTGAGTAACCATTTTAGTCAAAAGCTTTGAAGTACGTGCCATGTTGAGAAGTAAATGTCATTCCCTCATTAAGTGGGTCCCCTTATACTTTTTACACGAAGCCTGATTGGGTCGTTTCTTCTCGTGAATTATGATTTGAATTTTTTTATCTGTGAATCCCAATTACTGACGATAAGATCATTTCCTGTCAACATGAACAAGTCTTTTGAATTTAACCTTGACCCATGAATGAAGAGCTGAATTAAATATGATTCATGACCCATTTGTTTTGCATAATGAATTTATGGCTATTTTATTAAAAATAGCCATTTCCATAAAAATGTATGCATTGTTCTTGAATGGTTGTGGTTAAGTTTTGACCAGGGTTTTGACAAGACATGGACTTCATAAGGATCAATAAAAGTCATGAAAAAGACCACTAATAGCGAATAGTTCTTGTCCAATAAGACTGGTCAAAACTAGGAAAAGTAAAAAATTAATAACAATTCACCAATTTGGTTTCTTATTTTCATGTGAAACATGAATGTCTTGAATTTTGTGTGCATGTGAAAGAGTTTTGGATATTGTTTGTGGTGTAGGCCAGCAGGTACCCCCTATTAAATGTACAAGTGATGCAGCTAACTGTACCAAAACCATTTCTGTCAAGTTGGTCACTTACATCATGTGCCACTAATGAATGTCCAAATCTTGCTGATGGTCCTTGATGTTTCTCAGTTGAAACTTGAATAATTTCCCACTTATTTTCTTTTATACTGTATCTAAAGTAGATCAGATTATTTTGATTATCAAACCACTAAATTATGAATCAATTATCCCATGAATGTACCATGTTGGTAATAAACAATCCCATATACAACACGTACGACAAGAACAAAAAGGAATTGCTTTCATTTACAGACCACTGACAATCAATATTGAGGTCAAGGTGCTAAAAAAATGGTACTCATTTAATCATAATAAACTAAGTACCTTGTTAATGTATCCAGGGGTCCTTTTGTTAATGAAAATCCACCAAACATCCATAAATAATTTCCAACCACAGCCATAGCATGGGAAGAAACACCAACTAAAGCATCTTTGATTTAGAGAGGATTAGAACTGAACATCAATGAATGAAGACCAAGCAGGAATTTACCAGACATACTGCAGTAAATACTAAACACTCTGCACATTGCCTGTACACATGCTTGCTGCATGTACATTTTAATAAATTAAAAAAAATAATTACTGTGCCAAAAGAAAAAACAACATACAGGGCGTAATCTTGCTAATTCAACAGACACATACTAAAAAAATCTCTCTTTTACAAACTCCTGTTCAAAAATTAAAGTTTCTAATCTACTCTTCTCCTCCCAAAACACATCCCTCAACGCTAATTGCTAATTGCTAATTGCTTTCTGCAATCATTTTGTACCTTAATACTCCTAGCACTCTTACCTATTGCTATGAAAACAGTTATATACCATTATGATATCATTATTTTGTTGACATTCATACATGTGGCTGCAGGTAAAGTTGCTCAAGGTCTGGTCTAACTGGAAAATTCAGAAACCATCCTTTTTTAGTGATAACATACAGTTCACAATTCTAGAACACCATGGCACGATTTACAAATGAAATGCACACTGTATGCAGCTTTTGCTTAAGCTGTCCAGACAATAGTTCAGAGGGAAAAGAGCAACTATCATTTGGCAATATATACTCCCTCCATAAACCTCCAATTTGAAAGCATTAAAACCTAGTTTAAGCTTCCATGAGTCAGAATTAGTATATGGTATGGCGATTTACCTTGGTTATTTGCCACTGGTGAGCTCCAAAAATTCCTATTATCCGTGATATTACATGATTCCCCTGCAACATCAACATTTACTGCTTAAAGTTTCTGAACAATTTAACAGACAATACATTAAACATTGCATGCCCATAATGTTTGAACACAAGTCACAAGAACAAGATCATTCAAATTAAAGAAAACTTAAAGGTAACCAGTAAACTTATTCCATACACGGTGAAAATGATCATTACATGCGCTCATTATGTGCGCTTTTGAACATTACATGTTAAAAAGCATACTATAGATTACTAAATCATTAAATTATTAAATATAGATGAAATACAGTGTAAGTTGACAAAGCTTTTTTTTTCCTGGTTTGACCTACATGTCGTGTTTGTTTTTGAGTCACCTTGTATTGAAATACCATGTGCCAACTATTGCGGAGCTGAGAAAAAGCTTCAAATATCCTAATTGATCAATTTATTGAAATTTAATAGAAAAAATATTCCATTCACTCTTTTTGGATACAAGATTTGTTATAGCCTACTAGGCAATATCCACCTTGTTGGTTATTTAGCATCTCATATCGAATGCATGCTCATAGAATAATTGTTAAATAACATACAACAAAAGTTAATGTTGTGGTTATTATTATATCCATGTATAATAATATATTAAATAACCGTGACTAATGATAAATTTGCTTCAAGCATATAGCAAGAGTTAGTGCTATAGCACTGGGAAGAGTCTACTGATAGAAGCACATAATAGTGAAGAATACATTTTATAATTTTTATAGACCTGAATATCCACGGGCACAGTTACACTTCCTGGTTTTGACATCACAAGAGTCATTATTACATGTAACTGGACAAGTTGGTAAGCTGCAGTTTGTGGACGTCCACCCAGCACTGCAGTCACACATCTTTTTTGAACATAAACCATGCCTGCCACACTCTATGGAGCACTTCTCTTCAAAACTACAACATTGAAGGAGGTGAAATAAAAATCAGCAATGGCTGAAAAGTTTCCAAGCACTGTCCTTTAAAACCTACATTTACCATGATTGAATTCATCATTAACTGATCAAAAACAGGTAGAATCTTATTAGTAATTCTACATAGTACATAAATTTATGAAACAGTATTAAAAATGCATTTGTCATCATGCAGTTCATGGGTGTTGCATGAAAATTATACTTGCTCATAATAATATTCTAAATTACTCCTTCCTTTTGATCAGTTGTTGCCTCCCGAGCCTAAAAAAAAATCCAACTTTGAACAGGTAAAATCATTTTACAAGGTTGTTGAAGTCTCAAACACATGCCCAACCCCTATAACTGCCAGGTTTAAGCAAGCTTAAGCCTGCTGTGTACATGTAGGAATTAAATCCTAGTAATCTCCAAAGGAAAGTTTGTGATCAAATGTGATGAAGCTTTACTTCCTGATATTTGAGAGGGAGAAATAACCAAGTGAATAAGTGGGTGTCAATGTTTTTGTCTCTTTCTCACTGTCTTATTAAACCCTACACGGCTGATTTTATCTGTAAATGAACTCAACAAGGAATGATACAGTACATCACTGGACTCCTTACTGAAGTCCTCTAGTGCTGTCTTTCTGCCCAAATCACAGACACCTCAAGCCTTACCTGTACTTAATGCCAAACCAACAATGGTTTATCTTGTCATTGCTTACTCTGAGAACAACAAGTGCTGATCCAGATGTTGCTCTCAGTTGAAGAAGTGGGCTAGGCTTTTCTCTGGTCCCTGCTGTGAACAGGTCACTGAAAATAATTCCAAAACTAAGTTAATAATTATGTAATTGCTTTCCATTTAAACACAAGGGGCCAGTTATTTTAACAAAGCTCAGCCATCATTTAATAAAACTGCATTCTATACTATCTTCAATTTAGCTGAACCCCTTATCTAAACATTTATTTTTGTGATCAGTGTCAAGAAGGCTGAAAGCTACTGAATAATGGAAATAACATCTATTAATCAAATCAACCCTCTTGTAAAGTGCCATCCCTGAAACCCACTGCTTACATAAAACCACAGTTTGGTTAGTCCAGCCCATGTTCAATGACAGGGACTTCACTTAATTACTTGATGGAAGTCCCAATATATGTTAAGCTAGATGACTCTATGAAAAGGCTCACAGCTGACTTTCCAGCGAGGATTATCAAACAGATGAACAGTTACAATGAAACTCAAACTACTAGGACCCCAGAAATATTTCACAAAATTTAGTGTTTCAAAAGAAAAGCCAAACAGGCCTACAATAAGAACACCGCCTCCCAGTTAGCTCAATGGATAGAGTGCTGGACTGTTGTGCGGGAGGTCGAGGGTTCGAGCCCCAGCCGGACCAACACTCAAGGTCTTGAAATAATTGAGAAGAATATGCTTCCTTTCTATAACATCAAGAAATGGTGAGATATTCTAGTCTTCTCGGATAGGGACTAATAAATGGAGGTCCCTTCTCCTGCAGGGTTAGGGCTAGGAGACGTTAATTTCCCACGCAYGAGATTACTGTGTGATGGATGTCCTGCCCAGGGGTGGGATGGGTGGGTTGGGTTTAGGTGGATGAACCTAGTAGGGGACTACGTGTCTTATTGTTCTTCCACCTGTACAATGTACAAATCTTTAGAAACTTAAGAAATCTTTAGAAACCAATGAAAAACTTAACGGCAAAAAGCAACTATCAACTATCCTATGGTTGGGCTCTCTCTCTCTCTCTCTCTCTCTCTCTCTCTCTCTCTCTCTCTCTCTCTCTCTCTATCTAGCAGTTTGCAAAATTAAGAGTTGTTTGCCTGACCAGAACTTTATTGTGAATGGTGAGTTCACAGTTTACTGGTCAGAATCAATTCAGACATGTTCACAACTATCTGAGCTTCACAGCAACTGGGTTAGGATCACAGTTAGGGGCCCACACAATCCAGACCATTTTATCAAAGGAGCAAACCACAGTTGTCATCATGACTTTATGCACCAATAAATTTGAAGCTTCAATATGACCCCAACCCTGCAGGAGGGGAGGAACAGGACTTTGAACAAATCAATCTAGAAAGGTTCAAATATGCCTGAGGGGGGTGACTGGGGAAGGGTTGTTAAAGCTTTGAATTAATTGACATATTTTGATGATGAAACATTTCATTGATAAGAAAGAGAAACAATGTTTATCAAAATCAACATTATGTATTTTTCAAACTGGTTGTATTAACAGAACAATATCTTACCTGAATATGGCAATAAGTGGTGACTTTAATGAGGTTCCATTATAAATATACAACCTCACATCACCACAAGGCCCTGAAAAATTGTTTATGCTCAGTGTCACGGATCGCTTATTTTTGGGTCTGAAAAAGTGAAAAGTTTCAAGTTTCAGTAAATTTTGATTGCGAACATTAATATCATGATCTGATCAAGAAACAACAATTTATTCAACATTTCCCAGACTTTTAACACTGACTGTCATCTAACAAAATCAACTTGTGAAAAGAATAGCCTTGTTTCTTACTCATCTGTCTCAATGAGCCAAGCAGACCTGGCTGGATTTGGTGTTACAGGTACATTGACATCTGATTCTCCACGCCTGAAAATAAAATTTGATATTAAAGTTTGAACCAAAATGAAATTAACTTAGGCTGGTTTTCATGTGGGTAAAATCCCAGATAATTAGGGATTTCTCTGTTTCCTGATCACCCCAAAGTTCTATGACTGATGAAGACTCGACTTGCAGGCATCCACATCATTATCCAAGATTTCCACAATGATCAGAGGCCATCAACAAAGATATAAAAACACTCCTATTTTTACTGTTAGGACCTCAGTGATAGTTTTAGCTCACGACCAATCCTCTTTGGTAACTGCTTGGCTAATCTGACAACTTATAATCTAAGTCACAAACAAAATGGCATCTGTAATGTGCGAGAAAAATGTTTGACAGTCTCTTGATATCTTGGCAAAATATGGGACCATGCAGCACAGTGGAATCACCAATTGTCTGGGATTTTCCAGTTATCTGAAATTCAGCTCCTAATACAAATGTGCAGCTATGTAATTTGTCTTTCACTTGGTAAAGAGGGGATATTTATCTAAACTAAACATCCGGTCCTGGCTGTTTGAATGTTGGATAATGCTATCCAGTGTGTAAATCTTTATTCAGTGGATAGTGCGGTACATTTTGCAATCACTTATCCACTGGACAGACATTTCTCTGTAGGATAGCATTATCTACCCTTTATACAACTGGGCCCTGAGGGGAAAATATTGTCATAATGCTAAAAAAAAAAAAGGAACTAAGTAAGTCAAAACCATTTAAATCTTGTGGTGACTTCAGTCCAGGTTCTTAAACTGTCAGTTAACTGTAACTTGAAGTACTATTTAACAATTATTCTAGGAGCGCACGTTGGATATGAGATGATAGATAGCCAACAAGGCGTGTAGCGCCGAGTTGGCTATAATCATCACATATCCAACAAGCGCGAGTGGAATAATTGTTTTATTAAAAACGCCCCCAAGAAATTATTATTTTGTAAGAAAAAACTGGATTTTTTAGCTCCCTTTTGATTATAAGCTGACGCATACGCTTACCATATTTGTAGATTATGGTATATTGGCTCATATACCACAATGGCTAAGCCAATAAAAAGTCTTGAATTGCATTATCCAATGATCCAGTTTTTAATAATCCTTGTTATGATGACCCTCAACCAAGCCATGAAACCATGTGAAATACTCATGCCAAATAGTTCAGTACATTTATTGCAAAAAAACATACAAATAAGTCCCTTGTATTATACCCCTACAAATTCCATATCCTCAACAGGAAATGAGCAGATGTCAGCATGAACCATGTGTTAACATCTGAGATAAAGGAGGCAGCGGAGGCGGAGGCGTAGGAGGCAGCATGGCCGAGTGGTTAGAGTGTCGGACTTGTAATCCACCCCTCCCGGGTTCGAGTCCCACCCTGACCACTGGATCTGTTTCACGGTAGCCCCGAGTTCAGATCCTTGGCCACGCTTGTAAATAGCCAACTGGTTTGCCTCTGGCTGGTTGGGGTTCTTAATGATGTTATGTTCAATTTAGACCATTTGTTTCATTACCTTGATTGTGAAGCGCCTTAGAACTTTTGGATAGGGCACTATATAAATTGTCATTTATTTATTAATTATATAAAGCCAATTGCTTTTTCCCCAAGATATTTAAAAAGTACAGTCTGACAGAAATGAAATGCAAGTCATGTTTACAACTACTGACATTAATCATGTATTCTTCCCTAAATTACCCTTAAAAATAACATCAACCAGGTCACCAATGTCCAAGATATGAATTCTCACATCTACATTTTCAAAAATTTCTATGACGGTATTTTCTGTAACAACTCGTCTTAAGAAAACCAGCTGGTTATCAAGTGAATGTATTATGGCAACCTCTGCTCATACATAACCATCCACCTTAAGAGTCACGTTCTTTCCCATGGCAAATAATGAGGTTGAAGGTTAGAGTTTTTCGATAGGGATGTTCATTGTTGACAACCCTGATCACAATTCAAAACAATTTTTTTTTAAGTACGACCATTCAAAAATGCCCATCTTCGCATCATATATCACGCAATATATTGTAAAAATTATATCGGAAGCCGGATCGGAAGTCAACGAAAATAATTCAACTCGCAATCGAATTTCCAAACCGAAGCTCTACGATAAATCAAATAGGGAATACATACGTACAAAAAATTACTAGAAAAATTATCATGTTTGTTAACACTTCGATTTTTGACGAGTTTGAGGAAACAGATGATTCAGTTCGACCCTCTTTACTCGAAATATCTCACCTCTCGCGACAGCTTTCGTTGCAATGGAAAAAACCTCCACCGTTACAGATCTCCTCAGTGTGGTCAGGATTCCGTGTACATTTGCTTAATTCACAAAGATTAGATCCTGTGAGAATATAAATTACAAAACAATACCGCCAGGCATTCATTCTTTTCCCCATCCATCAGGTCATTGTGCCGAACGAGCTGTTTTGGCTTTGTCAAAGATAAGTCCCCAAGGGCATGGACTCGAAAGACCATTTACTGGTATAGCGTGCAGGGCCTAATCGAAAAAGATCCAATCCACCCGAAAAGGTTATCACTTGTCCAGACCCCGCTTGATTCAGGTGACACTCTCGAATCATCGTCCGAGCGAAGCAGAGGCCGACTCGGGATTTGAAAAAAGAAAAAGACTTCTTGAGATTTTTTAAGGATTACTTGGTTTTATCAACCGAGTTGAATATTTTAAATAATTAACCCCCGTAGAGAGTTTATGAAGTTAATCAACTCTCTGCGGCGACCGATTTACTTTATCAGCTCAGTTCATAACACCCCGGCAGACTATGGTTAGCCAAATGTTGCAAAATTCAACAACCTGCATATTTATATTCGACAACTAATATTTATGCTCAACAAAATATATTTTTATTCAACAGTTTACAGTTATATTCAACATTTTATATTCATGTTCAACGGCAAGCATTTTCTTTTCATATTCAACCAAAATTATTTTCATTCAACAACAATATTTATTCAACTTCAATAGCTATATTTATTCTACTCAACAAAATTAATTGTTCAACTTCGGTCCAAACTTTTTACCCAACAAAATTTTATTCAAATTCTACCGTGCATAGTTATTTTATGACATACCTTCTATTATGACTAAGTGTTTGAAAGTTCCCGGACATTCAAAATATCGTCATTCAACAAAATTCCCTGCCCCTACCCCCGAATATCCCTTCCAATACGAAAATTATGGTTCATTTGTTTCTCCTGTTAACCTTTGAGGCGCCACGGATGATTTGCTGCAACTGCGGGCCTTTTTTTTCCCTTGTGAAAAGAAGACGAAGAAGAAGGATTACCGGGGTGGCTGTGGCGGGAAAAGATGGAACGATGCTCGGGGCCGGATAGAATTTGTCATCCGGTCGGCTCGCAGATCTTGCTGAACTTGCTGTAAGGTCGTGTGTTCTCACTGACAACGAGGTATTACTTCCCGATCGTTGAAGAGCGATCTCATTTCGAACACATTCTCTCACAATTTGTGTCAGTTCTTCCCTAACATCACACCTAACATCTTCTGACGCCTTCCTCGATCTATTCATGGGCGTTAATGGTCGGGGCACTGGGTCCGCAATTCAGCTATTTAACTGGGGACTGGACGGGCATTTTGTTGAATGACGATATTTTGAATGTCCGGGAAATTTCAAACACTTACCTTATGATAGGAAATTAACGCTCCATGAAATTAAAGTGTTGGAAATTAACGCAACTTAAATTAACGCGAATTTTAAAGGAAACCGAGTTTCGAATAAAGAAAATTAACGCGAAAGAGGAGGTAGAACTTCACAATAAAGGAAATTAACGCGATTAAGACACAGTCGATGGTGACAACTGGTGCAAATTTATGGATGCCAATAAATTTAAAACTGAACAAAACTGAGCCATGTGCTCGACACAACAGTACGCAAAATTCTAGAGGTAGGGTTTACTTGACGGAATCTGGCCATTTCTAGCGTTTTTCAAGCAGTCCATGACCAGCCGATCTCCACCCCGATAAAATAATGCCCTATCCTTCATCTACTAAAAGCCATTCGTAGACTTCTTTCATTAGCTTACCGTGGCGGGGCTTCAAGGTTGATAGTTTCAAGTCAATTTCAATTGGTGTAACATCTTTCCAGGTGTTACGCAGCATTTCATCCGTGATACATGATGTGAAATATACACTAAATTCACGTTTCTCCATGTTTTTGACAGCTCCATTTGTTGAGAGGTTAGAGAAGATGCGTCACGTTTTTGGGCACCATGACACTGATTCTTTTAGTCGCTCTTCAACAAGCTTCGATGTCTGAGCTATTTAAAATGCATCCCAGATCAAAACAGTTCTGGCGTTCTCGTCAAGGCTGAGCTTTACCTTGGTTCGCTGAATGTAGGGGTGAAGAACATCATTTATCAATCGTAAGGTTTCCTTTTCGTTGCTCCAATGTTTCGCGTCGCAGGACGAACAAAAACCCTTCTGGAAAGTTTGTGGCTGGCAAAGATCTAGCTGTTTTACCTTGATAGATTAACTGCAATGGTAAAACAGATCCATCCACTGTTTCTGCTAAAGTGAGAGTCATGCCCCGTTTGTCACTTCCTCCTTTCTTCCCCACGTGTTTTGAATTGGTTTCTGCCATTTGATAAATTCTCTGTTGGGACAAATTTGGACGGTGTTTGATCTACATCAATGATAAGCTGATCTGGAATGCTGTGTCGAAACGGCTTCTGCAATTACATTAAGAAGCCCGGAACCCTCAAGTCATACCAGAATAGCCTTCAGAAGTTCCTGGAGTTCACCAAAAAGAAAAGAGCGCGCGCGCACCTTCCTTCCGTCGACTGTGACACCAAAATCATGCTCTACGATTTGGGTGTTAATCTCAAGGGCTGGAGGCAGTACATCACCAAAATAACTATGCATGGTAGAAGTTGAATAATTGTTTTAGTTGAGTAAAAAGTTTGGACTGAAGTTGAACAATTAATTTTGTTCAGTAAAATAAATATAGCTACTAAAGTTGAATAAATATTGTTGTTCAATGAAAATAATTTTGGTTGAATATGAAAAGAAAATGCGTGTCGTTGAACATAAATATAAAATGTTGAATATAACTGTAAACTGTTGAATAAAAATATGTTTTGGTCATAAATATTAGTTGTTGAATATAAATACGCAAGTTGTTGAATTTTGCAACATTTGACTAACCATATCAGACGTAGGAGCCACAGGTTGTCAAGAAACTTACCCCTTTCTAATCAAGATTAAAATATTTCATTAAAGTTTTACATTGATGTTTATGAAAATTTTTTTATCTCATTTGATTACCAGAAAACAAAAGCGACAAAAATGCTATCTGCAAAGGTAATACCTTAACCAAACACACGACGATAACAGATGTCGGGCGACTCGAACGTGGAACGCTTTCGTCCGATTACGGATACTTGTGTCTGATTAAGACTAACAAAACTCTGAATAAGTTAAGTTGATGATTTTTATGCTCAAAAATCCAAGATTAATAGCATAGTAGACACCAAAAAGCAACACAATGAGAATGAAAATATAGATTTAATTCCACACCATTAGTTTGAAAAAACGTTTCTTCGCGTGACATAGACTTGAAGATGAATTGTGCGACGAAATTCGTGTGACACGAAGCTTTGTGCTTTGGAATTCTCCTGTTAAATTATATCAGTCGAACTCTTTTCTGATAGGCTGCAGTGGATGTTGTGGTTGCTGTGTGCTTCTTGTTTACATATGGCTTAATGGTTACATACATATTCGGATAAATCGAAGTAAAATCTACGATTTATCGATTAATATACTTACAACCCATTCTAAATAATTATTATCATCTCACAAACTAGAGAAAAATAAATAACCTTTACAGTTAATGTGTAATTATTCTAATTTGCATCATTATAGAAATAGCTTTTTATTTATAGAAAAATAAATTAAGTTGTACGACTCAAGCATTATTCCAAGTGCTTCACAAAAAATGTTCGAAACCGTTCAATTTTGCTTGAAAAATATCTATAGTACAAGAAATATATTAACTATTAGGAAAATAATACGACACTGGTTGTGTCTGCATTCAATGACTAGTTATAATTTCTCTTTCAAAAAAAAAAAGAGCCTGAAAATATATCTTAAATTTATGTTAAAATTTCGATTATTTCCCAAACTCCAAAATAGCGAATGTTTGTAGAAAACTTGTATAAAAGAAATTCAAACAAAAAAATATACACATGCAAAAGTGGACTGCTGGATAAAACAAAGCCACGTTTTATCTTCCTAAATGGTAAAGTCTCCTTAGAATATCAAATTAGAATTTCAGAATTCGTGAACAAAGCTGTTGTACGAGTCGCTAGTTATTTCAGCGGCTACGAAAATGCACATAGTTTATCACTGATTCAGGGCCATTTTTAGATTGTCCAGCAGTGAGATCTGCTCTAAGTAAATTATCTTGACAATAATTCCAGTGAAGCCTACTGAGCAGTTGTTCGCTGCAGTCAAAGTACTGTTCCTGTATGCGTGATATGCTTATGCAAACTGCCTCTATTGTGGTGACCTAAGAGTTTCCTCCTACATGGCTCCCTGGCTTGGATTGGACAGCAGCACTTACAGGAATTGCAAATGTGCCACCAAAGGAGGATGGCATACCTATAAAATATAAAGGAACCATTTTAAACGCGTAAGCAGTCGATATTCAGTCATTCCAATATAAAAAGATAAACCGAAAAAAACAAAACGAAAAAGAAAACAAAAACAATGTGTAAGATGCTGCTTACATCTTAGCAATCAAGAGATCTGTTGAGTTGTAACTGTAGCACGGTAATTCAGACCTTTACCTCAACTTTCTTTCAGAACGTGGTTCAAATATAATGACAGTAAGCGAACTAGAATTGTTTAAGAGATAGGTCTTGGGACTTTTAGAAGCTAACAGCCACTAACAACAACATCTGATTTTCTTGAAAAAAAAAAAAAAAAAAAAAAAAAAAAAAANATTGAGATCGCAATGAAAAATTACAGTTAAAGAAGGAATCAACACTATATTGAGGGCACTATTGGCTCAACAACCCAGTGGCAATTGTAATAACAATACCAACACTAAAAATGGTGCCAACTGCAGCAGCCGTGTATCAACGTTGATTTGCGCCTGCACATGCAAAACAACTGACAGATCTCGCTACTGATATTTAAGTAATTTGAATATATCAACAAATTTGAAATGGTAAATTGGCAACCGTAACGATTACAAAAGCTGACGTTTCGAGCGTTAGCCCTTCGTCAAAGCGAATAGAGGAATTGTGGGCTGTGTGTGCTTTTAAAGGCAGAAAATGGAGCTACGTTATTGGTCGGAACATGGCAACGAGAAAAACACGAATAAATTAGTGGAATGAAAAGCGTTCGTTGATCCCTGTGCAATGGATTACATTGGCGGAGGTGCACGTAAAGTGATCGATGATCTTAATGAATCGTTTGGGTCCCGATATTTTATCAGTGTTGTGAATGAAAGGATATGTTTTGCATCGTGCACGAGTGCATTTAAAAGTGCCTGGTTGGTCATAAGTCTGAAAAGAACTTCCGACCAAAAAATTGCCTATGTCGCGTTTGAATGAAATGAGCGGAGGCTGTGAAAAGATAGTGCTTGTCTCAGGATCGTTTTGAAGTAATTTAAAGTTTTTGAGAATGATGGATTCAACTGAGTGGTTGTGAGGGTGAAACGTGAGAGTGAATGGAATGCGGTCGGAATCTTCCTTTTGTGACGTTTGTAGTGCTGAATGAACCCAAAAGTGAGATTTAAGTGTGAACATAGATGCTAGCCATTCCTTGGGGTCACAGGGTTAAAGTAATATTTTATCCAGGAGAATTAATTCAATAGTTTCTGTCATCCAAAGTATTCACCATTATTGAGAAAAATGGTAAAGGTAAAGTCTGTCTATGAGCCAAGTGGCCCATCAGGCCAGTGCTTAACTCCAGTTTCTTTTGCATGAAGTGACTAGGAGTATTTCTACTCCCCCCTGGATGGGATGTTAGTCCACCACAGGGTTACCCCCCAGCATTAGATTTGCCGGTACCCATTTAAACACCTGAGTGAAGAGAGGCACTGTGAGAGTAAAGTGTCTTGCCTGAGAACACAACATAATATCCCCGGCCGGGGCTCAAACACAGACCCCTCATTCTTGAGTCGAGCCCACCAACCATGACGCCACCGCGCCTCCATTGAGAAAAATGAGCACTACACAATTTAATTTTCCTCTTGAGTACCTGGAACAATAACAGCAGAGTTTCCATGAGAGCCAGTGGGTGTACTTCCCTCAGACACGTTGGGTGGTCTCATCACAGGATTAAATGCACTCTTTTGTTTGACTGCTTGAATCATGTTTGGTGGAAAGGCAAACATTCCTGCATTTCCATTGGGTGGTACACTGCTGGGTGTTGGAGGAAGTGATGGAGATTGGGGAACAACTACAACATCAAATATGAAGCAAGGTTAAGTAAAATAAAATGGGCAGCTTCAAGGCTGCATTGTCGATCTTTATTTACTTGCATTAAGTGTGTCTCAACTGGTATTTCCAAGTAACAGCACACTTTGTTGTAAGAATCATCACCTTCTCCAAAGTTCTGCTTTATCTTTGGCTTAAAATATGTGAAGAATCTAAGATCTGATCTGTTTCTTGGCCCTTTAATTCCAAATAGTGACCAAGACATAATTTCTCCTTGCAACATTGATACAGTATAAAGCAGACAAGAAGTGAGATTATCAGGAGATTATTAGTTGATCCAAAGCCAAATTCCCCAATCTAACATCATAAAAATGATATAGCTGACAGAAAGGAGAATTAGTTATGAGATGTACGTTTGGCATAAAAGGGTTAATGGAGAATTACATGCAAGTGCTCAGTCTCTAATAATCAACTTTTTTAAGCAAAAAAACAAGTATGAATCAAATAATCAACGGATGGTAAAACAGTTTCTACAAGAGATAATAAACAGTGCCGATAATTCGAGTGTAACAGAAAAAGTGTCTAGTAACAACTTATTAAACCACAATTAAAAAAATTTCAATCCACATGATAAAATTCTTTTAAAGCTGCTAAAGCTATCCAACTTACATGTAGCCCCATTAAGGAAACTCGGTGAAGAAGGGACTGCCATGTTGTGTAATGTAATTGATGGTGGAAGCCCCCCAGGGTATGCATTGATACCATTTGCAGCACTTGACATGCTGATTGCCACAGAGGGTGTTACAGGCACATCAGAATTGGAGACAATGTGTGCTTCACTTGCCAAAGATCCACTGTGTGGATAGCCAGGAGGCAAATTGACTGGCCTTGTGGTAGGAGTGTTGCTGCCTGAGAGGAAACAACTATATTGTCAATTATCTATATCGTTCACCCCAGTTAATTACAGAGGTCAATTAATCCAAGAAAGAAGACAGATATGGGATTACATATTAATCCAAGAAAGAAGACAGATATGGGATTACATATTATGTCCTCCACATCTAACTTAACCAAATGTACAGTAATGGATACATCACTTCTGAACTTGGAGATATAGCCTAGACTTGATAGATCATCTGTAGAATTCTGCAGTGTTGAAAGCCACAAAAGCATACAACTAAGGCTTTAAAACAAGAGTTTTAAAGCAAATGACAGAGTACAATCTTGCTCACTTTGCCACCAGCCCTCTACTCATATAGAGTTCATGGAGATACTTGCCCTCAAAGATACAATACTGGCCTAGTATACCATGAATTCTATACCCAAAACCGTCTAATATTTTAAGTATTACTGCTGTAATCTCCAAGTCCATAAAAACCTTGACTGTTCTTACCAGTACCTGATGAGACAATAATTTCATTATTATTGGTGTCAGTGTGTGCCCCAGAAGTTGCTATTCTCTGCTGTTGGCTGCCAGGGTTTGTGTTGCCATAGACTGGAGCCTCGGGATTGGTAATGGTCCCATAGGCACCTCCATTGGTAATTCCATCAGGGGACAGGGCTGTCAGGTGCTGCCCGATCATCATTGGATGTGTGCCACCAGCAGTGGTGGGTGGCGGCCCCCCAGGGGGTGGATATTGTGACCCATGAAGTTGAGTTGGGGTGCGAGGAAGGTTGTAGCACACAGCTTCTGCAAGATCAGCTGCCCTCTTTAAAATGATTTCCTGGAAAAGTTATTCAACAGATGAGAAATACTAATCTGTAGAGAAAGTAAAAGGTGGATTCTCACAAAGATCAAACTAAGGTAAATTGACAACAGAAATGGCCGTAACTCTAAAGAACAACCTGCACTTTTAATTTTTAAATTCTCCCAATTAAGGAAAATTATACATGGCTCACTTGAGAAAAGAACCTCACAAAATCATTTCATTTTAGTTTGGAAAACCTTGTTTTTCAATGAAATAGGAATTTTCCATACATTTTTTACATTAATGTGGAAATTAATTTTTTGAATGTTCATCCTACCTTCTGGAAAGTAAAGCCAACATATCTCCAATACAATTTACCTTGGGTAACTTTTCAGGATCACCAGGGTGTCTTGGAATAAGCTTCGTCAGTCTTTGGAAGCCGTAGTCAATAGTTGGTTCACAAAGTGCTGTAATCATAAACAATAAGTTTCGCAATATATAGAGGTTAGCAGAATTATTATTTATCGCAAATTTCTCTTTGACAATGGTGAAAACATACCTATGTGTAGGTGTCTAGAAATAGCAAAATTATCGTGCTGAAAATCTAAACCATCTAACTGGTAGTAGGTTGGTCTTAAATAATGGAAATCTAAATTGCAATTTTTTTAATTTCATTATCCATCTGAATGGCCACAAAAATTAGAAAAAAATATTTGAAGCATTAAGTTCTGCTCTGAACACAAACTTGACACTAAAATAATTATCAGCTTAGATGGTAACTTAATAAAGATTACATAACGAGCACTTCACATTTTAAAGTGTCTCACCTGAATAAATGAATCTTCCAGGGGCAGTCTTGCAGAATTGCTTGTTTCTGTACATAAGTGTTACTTCTACCATGCCTGGAATGGGTCTGGGTGGTGCTTGGACACGGATAGCATTAGGGGTGATAAACTGCATTCATAGGAAAGACAATACCAGTAATAATATTAGTTTAACCTAACATTAAAGCAAAGAAATCTCCTGCTAACAGAGAGCATAGTAAACCACAAGGCACAATGCTGCAAGCTAGTCTTGCTGTCCAACTAGCCCCTGTGTTTTCCACCAATTGTTTCACCCCACCTTCTCCCTCTTCTCCAACACTTTGAAGCCTTGATATTAATCAATAATTTTTAAATAAACAGACCTGATCAACGTCTGTGATCAGATCAAGCTTTTTCATGTTGGACTATAGACACACTCATGAAGCTAATAAACCTTCAGAAGTCTTGAACCGCCACTACTAATTGAACAAAATGCATCGAAAACAAAATGAAATCATCAGCTTATGTGAAAACTGAATAACTGTTAGGTGATGTCAACAAACACTAAACAAAACCCCTTCAGGAACAGAACTCAAACAAGAAAAATTACTCTTTCCTCAAGAAGCAATTGAAAGCTCTGTTCATTGGCATGACCTGATGATGATAGTTTTCAAAATTATAATAATATCCCCCCCTTAAATTCCAAGCAAATGAATGATAAATTACCTCACTCCAGACAATTAGTGAGCCAAACACCACTTGTAAGCCATCAAAAAAGTTTTCTCCTATTACTACAACATTTGTTCCTCCAGTTGTCCATCCCTCATTTGGGCAAATAGCCTTGATACACGGATAAGCTGCAAAATACAAACATGTGTAACTATTATTTATGTTATATTAAGAATGGACACTTGACATCATCTGTCACAAAAATGACCACTGTAATAATGTTCTTGCACAGTTCAAAACAACATGATTGCTGACAAAACTCAGCAGGATTGTTAAAATCTTGATTTATTCCCTCTATTTCATTACAAATGAATTAAACCCACCATATGAAGACTCCAGTTTGCGGCTTTTCCTACCATGTTTGGAATTGTTATGCACAAACATGTTATCAGAGCATGCTAACATTCCAGCAACAGGATCAGGAGACGAAGAAACATGCACCTGAAAGGAAAATGAATCCATTTTTAATATTTCCATAATGAAAACCTTTACACCAGTCATTCAGTCAATAATTTATCCTTGGTTAACCATGAAAAGTAAGCAGTATTTGAAATCTTATGCCAATGCTCTTTCTTTACCTGGAAGCGCCTCATATCCCTTGGATTTCCCGCATTTTTTAAACAATTCTGATTGCACTTCAGGAAAAATTTTAAAAAGAATCTGCAAAGACACAAAACATTTGGTTAAAATTAATGATTAGCCAACGATACTGAGGTGAATAGTTGTATTCATATATACTACAACTTACAGTAAGATAATTCATTACAAATAGATGATTTTAACTAATTCACTTCTGCATCGCTTACAATATTTTTGGGTGCAAATCCTGTGCTTGTAATGCCCACATGTAAATAGCAAGGATATTAGAGTTTGAGTAGCCAATCAGAGTGCACTTTCACTGCTATCTACTGTTATAGTATGTACCAACAGCTGATCATTTAATTCCCCTTTAAACTGTTAGCAATGCTTACTCAAACCTTCCACAAGACTATTTGTTTCTTGCTTCAGTGGGTCTAACTTTCCCCTCCACATTTTACTCAGTTGAAGCACTGTCCTGTGTTACCCTCATTAAATAAAGTTGATTGATTGATCCAAGGGAAAAAAAATGTGCTATGAACTGTATTCCAAAGAGTCAAAATGTGTAATGTAACAAGGGACAAATTTTCAAGTAAAATTTTATTTTTAGTGGCAAACTCTTTCACCAAAAAGAAAAGGCCTTTGACATGATATGGAAGGGTGTCATGTCACATACGCAAAACACGAGGATAATAGGCAACATGAGGATAATGACATTGACAAGTTCCTTTTGTTGTCAGTGATTACTAAGAAGGAAATGTAAGGGAACTGCTTTCTCGTGAAATCACTACCTCGTTTATCGAAAGGTGGGTGGATACACCCACATCATTATTGACTTTTATCCATTTCAGAAACCATTCATTTTAATTACTGCAATAAACAGTTGTCATCCATGAATTATTAGAAAACATTTTTTTATCACAGTTTTTACAAGCTTAGTTAGCAGAGCTGCTGTTCTGTCTCCAACCATTACATACTAGTGTTTACAATAGCTTTAAAACTCTAGCCTAAAGTCTTACAAATAGCAGGTTGGTTAAATGTAAATATCCATGGAAACAGATATTAAGTAATATAACACTCAAATATCTGTAATTGAAATATAAACAAAACCCAATTGTTTCTACAGTGACAAAGTATAAGATTAGCTTAGGAATTTCTTTTCAAATGCAAATTGTCAACAAAGGTTGTCAAGGCTAATTATTTAAGTTAACCAAGTTTTAATCACTAATGCCTTACTTTAATTTAGTATATGATTTCTTTTAAAAACTGGAGCTGAATTTTTAGTTCAATGTTTAACTATATTTTCTCACAAAAGGATCAGCAGTATACATACAGAAAATTAAAACAGTCTCTGAAATGGCATCATTCATTCTGACAAAACAGCATTTCATGTAGGTTTTTGTTCAAGCAAACAAAAGCAGAGAACAATTAGAGCTTATTTCACACCTCTTAATATAATCTTTTGAATTCAACAGCTTGACAATAGGAATAAAAATACATTCCTAAGGCCAAGAAGTGGAACATGGTAAACTTTTCCCTTAGGGAAGATTTCAGCTCTAAGCACCACATGGGAACATAGTTCAATTAAGTTGTTACAAGTCAACAGTACCTGTCTACTATAACAGGGTCTGACGGTGTTTCATTTTTATTGCCGCATGATTTCTTTTCACAGCATCGGCTTGAAAAAAATAAAAGGACAAAAGATTCACAGTAATCAGTATTCAACAACACACTTAGATTTTTGGCTAATGAATGATGTCCAGGAACGGTCCAGAACTTTCAAAATGTCCTCCAAATGCTGTAATCATCCTAACCTACTGAAAATGTAGAAGTAAATGAAAAAATTACCTGCACATAACTTCATGAGTCATGAGAACCCGACACATCTCAGGGTTTTTGTCCTGCCCTTCATATACAATGGGCTAAGGGAAACAAAACAATTTGGCCTTAATATCATTATTAAAAAAAATTCTCAGCATAACATCTTTTTCTTTCTAACTGATCAACTTCAGTGTTTATATAACCTTTTAGCCTTTCAAAAAGCTGTAGGTAAGGCTCCCAGTAACATTTTGTAATATGCAAGATTTCTTGCCCAAATCAGAAAATAAAACTCAATTCTGAGGAGGAACATACTTTAAGAACTGTTTTCCAGTGCAACTCTCATAAAAGGTTTTTCTTTGTATATTTTTCGAGGTGTTAGGGGCTTATTTGTCGTTCTTACGGTAGGATTGTGTTTGGAAATTGTGAAGAAAGAAAACGATACTAGGTCAATAGGTAATTGAACTTTCAAGTCGTCTGTTGTCAGCGCTTTGATAGCACGAAAACAACTCATTAGTGCAGCTGGAAAAGAATGCTAATTACTTCAGCTGTAAGTTGGGAGGTAAGATATGGTAATTTCCTTTTTTCAAACATGTGCGCAACAAACATTTTAGTTCTTACCTGCTTCGTCGCCGAGTTAACAAGGCGAATAAATACGTCTTGCTCACTTCTAATGCCTTCGAGAAGGAGAAGACAAAATATTATGTCAAAAAAAAAAGTAGAATAAAGTTGTCCTTTGCACTTTGCCTTACGCCCGTTTCTGAATTTTGACGCACTTTCACCAGTTTCTCTTCAGATGGTTCCTTTTTGTTTTTCCTTTTCTCGCTTGGCATTTATCACCACTTAAAACTTATCCTTAGGGCACAGTAAACAATTTGTATACTTTGTTTAAAGAAGCAACTCCCTCGGCAACTTAAGTAAATACTACAGCGCGAATATTGTCGCATTCCGTTGGACAAGCAGCTGCCAAAACAACGCAATGAAAACGTGGTTAGGACACCGGAACCGAAACATGTCTCTAAAGACTACGGATCACTTTTCCCTTGTCGACGGTTATCAGTCCACAAGTGAATTTCATATTCCCACCGGGGTCCGTCTTAATTTGATAACAAGCTCACTCATACACACTTCATCGACTGTCAAAAGTACACACAGATGGACAAGTAAACACGAAGCACTCACCATTATTGTAGAGAACTTGTAGCCGGTACGATGCACCATTTCGAACGTTCTTCTGATCCTGCGTGACAGAGAAGCGAACAAAACCGTCCACAACTATACAAGAAAGTTAACTGGACACTTCTTATTCTTACGTTAACTTGGGTTAACAATTACAGCAAGACTTACAGGCAGGTGCTCAATAAAACCCACGAAAGCTGCGCGCTCGATCTCAACCGCTTGTCCCGTGCGATCGTAAAACGCCAAAACGAAGTGGAAAAAGTTGCTCTTACGAAGATTTGAAGGAGGCTGCTTCTCGAAATGTGCCCTGGCCAAGCCGTACCCGCTGGAAAAAAAACATATAAAATTCCAGGTAAAATACGTCTGAAAAGTTTCGCTGAAAGAAAATATTCCGCACAGAGTTCAGTACATGAGAATTTGGAATCACGTGGCTTATACATACGACGCTATCAGTGTTAAGCTACATGCAAGAGGAAATTAGTATGCGCCAATGTATAAAACATCTAACCTGGCCACTTGATTACTGTCCATGGTAGCTGGTTGTATCCAGCCGACGCTTTCTTCTTTTAGCGGTGAAGTAACGCTATGTTCTTGCATGTATGTAACAGTGAAATAAAAATGGCTAAAAATTTATCTTGCGTTGCCGTGCTGAGTAAGGCAAATATTTTCACTCGAGCACGTTCTGACTCCTCATTAACTATTCGACGGACGGTCGATTTGACCCTCTATTCGCGGGTTTGCCGGTCTTATGGCTTGAAATCGGGTCGCGGTCACAAGTCGCAGGTTTCTTTGTTGTCGTGAAGAGTTTGTAAGCTGTTCAACTCCCAAAGGACAGCAGAATATGCGAGGTAAACCTCCCGAGGGAATTATGAACAGAATGCACAAACCCAATATATTTTCAGTGACGTTTTCTCGACCAATCAGATCAGTCACTCTTATTGTCCCATTTAATACTTCAAATAAACAGCTATTGTCTTTATTAATAATATTTATCCAGTTTTTGACCAATCTTGAGTCACAAGGAAATTTAATTAAGTAACGCAAGACACATGCCACACGAACTGTGACTATGACAGTAACGGAATTTGAAAGCAGGTCTTAGTGGAGCGCCACAGCTCTCTGTTTGGGTTCGCATAATAAAAGTTTATATGAACATTAACTAACTCACCAAAAAAAAAACAACGATGTGGTGAATACTGTATTAATCCTTTTGTCTAATATAATCTTTATTAAAATTATTCTGAGAATGGCGTCCGCATCTCAAGGTTCCTCAAAGTAAAAAAAAATAAATTATTTTTCATTTCAATTCTATCTACCTTAATAATCCGTTTTTCATCTAGTAAATGAAATTGTAAGTTAAATAAAATATTTTTTAAATGTTCAAGGAGATATGATGTTGACTGTATGCGACGGTTACACCACCAATACATCCCCTTAAAGTTTTATATTACCGCTGTTCGTACCAACTTCTTGTTCACTTTATACTCAAAGCCAACATGGCGTCTACGTCGCCTAGTATCCCTCAGCTTTTTACAGAATTGGACAAGTTTGCAAAGGACGGAAACTACGCTAAGGCGCAGAAAATTGCTAATAAGAGTAAGATAAAAAATCTAAGCATGATGTTTTGATGATGTTTTTCCATTTCAATTAATTTTTAGCCTGTCGTTTTTCATTCGAATTCAATTCAGTTCTCCAAGAAAAGCCTGACGACAAAGAAGCATTTCACTGTAAAGTTATTTGTCTTATCCATCAGTCATGCTTTCGTGAAGCAGTGGATGTCATTAAATCAGCCCCAAACAAAGGGTAGGTAATATTAATGTATGATAAAATTTAACTTCTATAATGGTTTTTAATATTACTACTATATTAAAAGGACGTAAAGACAGCAGAGTGACAATAACTCTCAAAAAAGAAACAACAACTTTGAGTTTAAATTTACAAGACATGTTTCGACATTCTCATGTCATCTTCAGTTGCAAATGAGCATTTAACTGTTGTACATTTGAATTTAAATTAGGGTACGTTACAAACTACGTGTCAGTGCTTACGTTACATTTGAATGTTAAAAACGCGAAAGATGTAAATAGCGCGCGCTTGACTAGATCAAAAAATAAATAGATAAATAAAAAATAAATAAATAAATGTAATAATAATAAAAATAAATTAAAAGACCAAGGAACAACATCATTAAAAGGAAAGAGACAATTCTAGATGTTTCAATTGCTGATTAAGGATAGGTTTTTCCCACTTAATATGCAATGCCTCTTTGATCTTAATTTGGTATTTTGAAG